TAATTGTTTACTTACCTACATAAATGCGAGTAGTTTTAGTTTCATTGTTATTAGATGAATACGATTTTAGATTGGAATGTAAAATATGCTCAATGTTTAGACTGTTTTCTCAATATGAGGGCACTCAAAGCGTTATGACTCTAAAGATTTGTTTCATAGAGTTTAATTTGCTGTAACTTAAAGCGACTCATGTTTTGATATATCATTTCGTTTAGATATGTTCCACGTTATATTTATCCAAATAAGATACAACAACATTATATTTTTGTTCTTAAATTAGTTGTAATTCGATAACACGAGCCACACACACGTCAAAATCAAGCCTAAAGTATAAATTTAGCCTACACGTTTAAAAAAAATAACTGAATTCGATATTCGATCAAATGAATTATTCATATTATTTATTCCTAATACGATTATCAAAAATTAATCGAATATACATATTAATTCTAGAACGAAAATATTTTTTGCATTGATATCCTTATTTCGTCCTTTTAATTTGAGTTTTTTGAGTCTATTTTCTGACCTGAATTTAATTTATGCAAATAGAAATAGATTTTAAATAATTATTATGTCGTCAGTATCGTTTTGTTTGAATTAGAATTTAGTAGAAATATGCATAATTTATACGTATACTGGTATTTAAAAATTACATGCTTCGTATAATTTTGAATAAATTTTATAATCTATCGATTTATTGAAACGTTTGTATCAACAATGTAATAATTCACACTTGATGTGTTTGTGTGATTTGACTTTGATTGTTTACATCGCAACTATACTTGGAAAGTTTTACAATGGCTTTATTGAACAAGCAGTATTTTTAAATGCTTTTCTTTCGTGAAGTTGCCTTGTACAAATTGTCCTTATTATTGGTGTGATCGACGTAAATAATCATCTCTTTAAGAGCTGAACAACAGCAGTTTCAGTTTTACAAAAGTCTTTTACTACCTTTTACCATAGAGGATTTCTTTTCCCTCTCTCTTCAGTAGTTAGAATAATATAAAATATTATGAATTACTCATATGCTACCAATAGACGTACGCTTCTGGGAATTGTTTGTCTAATCTAATCCCTCTGTAACAAGCAATCCTATATATTATGTATGTAGATAGAATACTACTGTAAGAAAATCTACCCCTCTGGGGTCATCATAATGTAACATTACACAAATATCGCACAACAGCTCGCTACAAATATCCTTACTAATATTATAAATCGGAAAGTGAGTTTGTTTGTTTGTTCCGCTTTCACGCCGTAACTATTAAACCGATTGCTTTGAATTTTTGCAGACGTAAAGTTAGAAGTCCGGATTGAATAATAGGCTACTTTTTATCCCGGAAAAATTTGATACTCCCGAGGGAAAACAAAATTATTGGTATAGATGGCGCTGTGTACATTAGTAGGTATATGTCACATAGGCTACTTTTTATCCTTTTGTGACGCGAGCGAAGCTGCGGGTAAAAGCTAGTTTCTACATAAAAACGTTGACACCACAAAATAATAAGTTGACAAAACCGGTTGACAACGAATTACCGTAAATCACTAAGCACACGTGAATCATACACATTGAAAGGTTATCAACAAAAATATGTTTTTTTTTTACTAATGTAGTTTTATTTTTCAGTTTATGTTTGCGTAGGAATAGATAGGCTAATATAGAATACAAATAAATTTTACCCTCTTGTTTTATCATATTAAAATTTTATCACAAAATTTTCACAAGTTCGCCTCGATTGAGTTACATGTAATAGAGAGAACAAGAGATCAGAGGCGAACCTATTGCCTTATATTGGTCGTCATACCAAACTTTGAAGTTCTAGTTACACAGATATCAAGTTATTTTAAAAATTCATTGCAAATTATAAAGTTATATCTTCAGTACTTTATTTAAAAAAGTCGAAAACCTTTTTTCCTTTTTGACTCTTTAGTATTTTATCTCTATGTCAAATTAGTTACAAAAATCATAAAATTTTGTGAACATGACATTCAAATCGTCAACTTATGTAACGTTTAGATAGTTTTTATGATTTGTTAAATATTATTTGGGGTTTTTATTCGTACATATTAAGAAAAACGAATAGATAATGCAATGGGCAAACACTTTGTGTATAATTTAGCTTTATAGATAAAGTTTGATTGTAAAATATGTATATTTAATTTCATTAAGAGGTTGTGGTTAGAAGTTGTAAATACTTGCTATCTAGGTATTGATGTTAAGTCTATGTATAAGTAAACTAACGCTAGATATAGACCTTATTTGTTACATACTTATAGATCTAACATTCTCTCATTCAACTTTATCTTGGTTTTCCAGTTGCAAAATAAGAATTTAAAGACAACCACAAAATAAATTGTGGTTGATATAATATTGGCAGAGCCATTTTATATCCGAGAGAGTCGGTATATTTCTAACCAATCTTTAATGTCTATTGGCAAATGAAATATAGTATATTGCCCAATTAATGATGACGTAACGCAAATTGACCAAACAAGAGAATCCGCTTGACACCACCGGTCCTTAAATATTTATACAACACAGACGAATCAACAGAGTGGAGACAAACGACTGCCGGCATTAGGACACGTCCATATACACCCTAATTATGACTAATTTTCTAATAAATACCTAACGGAAAAACGGAACTCGGGGAAGTCGCTATTTTTTAAATTTATCAATTAAAGTGACACTCGTCTTGTGACATATGACAGATAACACTGTCAAAAAATAAACAAATGTCATATGTCAACTATCTATCTATTTATTGTTATGATATCACGAAGGAAACAAATCAGTAGTTCACTATATACAAATGAAAAGTCAAGTCATAACGATTAAGTCTATAGCCATTTACACTTGAATTTTTGTACTAAGTTTTTTTTTATTTCCTTATCAAAATCCTATGAACATTCCTCTCCTGAGGAGTGCGTTGAATTTTAAACTTCACGGTCGCATCACACGTCAACACTTAATTTTAATTTGGGTTTTCCACCTTTTTCAAACCCATATGATGCTTTGTAACTGATTTAAAATTGCAGCCATAAAATTGGAATCAAAACACCTTAATTTTAAGAGAAATCTTTGGTCGACTTCTAAGAAAAATAATTGTGTACCAACTTTGAAAGATTTGTAAGAATCTCTTCAAAGACACTGTTTATTTAGCAACGATTAGAACATCTAATGGCAGCTAAAAGCAGTTAGGAAACCATTCCGTCTGTCTCACTGAAATAACCATTTACGGAGACTTCTTTGCTAAATCTTGGCCTCACCATATTCCTCGCAAACTTACAGACATTATTAAGCACAACTTTAAAAAACAGCAAATTGTTTTTTTGGATTTTTTTGTTTTAGTTACGTTTAGCAAAAAATGCAAGATAAATTATGATGTTTTAATCACAATTCTGTTTTGGTTTTCTTACTTGACATATCACCGTACTCAGAGTCATTCAATTCATACTTAACCCAGTCCTTGTTTTTTTATTAAAATCGTTACTAATAGTTTAGTAATCATTAAAGGCAATTAGACCATACTAATAAGTTGCAAGTAAACGTATTCGTAAATTCGCACATGATAGAAACACCTTTATAGTTCAAAGGTTGTCATACAGGTTTGTCAAGTGACCGGATTATAGAATCAATAAAATATTTAAAATTACATTAGAAACGACAGTTTTTTTCCCATTTCTGGTATATACAAGTATACAATATATTTTTAATCGAAACTCGCTACATACGAATACGATCGATATTTTTCTTAAATTTTTAGGTACTAATGGAATTCGAATGATGTGTGGTAATCGAAAAACAATCTTATAGGTTTTACAACAAAAGCTATTTTGTAGTCATGACCTATCTAGTCTTAAAATGGTGGATAAATAAAGCTTTCATGAAATTATATGCAAATGCATACTCCAAATGATTAATTATGTCTTTCGTGTAATTCACGGTTAATTTTATGACCATACATTTATTTTGCTTAATGTACCGCAGACTGCTGCACAAATTGTTGCTACAAAGTAAACATTGGTTTAATTACTTGTATGTACCACATTTGCACTTAAAGACATACTGAATTAGTCTACAAACGTGAATAATATACAATCAATCATGTATTCCATTTTCAAATTAGTTAACTATCCGGATTAAGCTTGTAGGTAACTTTTAATATTAACTTTATGTACTTACTAATACACAAATTATATTATTTTTACTCTTAGATCTCTTAATAGAAGGTACCTTACCATAATACAGACTACCAAACATTCAGACAGCTGTTGGCAACAGTAACTATAAGAAAATATGAGTAAATCGCGTGAGACACACTAAAATATATTTATTGCAATAAACCAAATTTTTTGCCGAAAACTTGAACACTTAACAACACATATGTTGTCGGTTGCGTTTTTATTTACAAACACTGTTTAATTAAGTAATTGCTCAACTCGTTGGGTAAGCGGCCCGCAACCATGTTGATGTTGATTCATAATTGATTTACGTTCGAGCGAGTTTTGAGTGTGTTACAATAGTTGGGCCTAAGGGTGTCAAGTTACACGACCTTTTGTTCATAAAATAAAAAATATGTTAATGGTTGACACCTGATTTTATTAACATTTTATTAATATTTGTTTTCGATTCGTGCTCATCGATTCTCAGAAAAAAAAATGTAAGCTCGTTTTCGCAATTTTTATGGCTTTTTATTTGTATTTTAATTCGTCTTTGCGTTACCTAAAATATAAAAAGTGACTGCACGTAACTGACGCTGTGACCTTCCCAATCAGACACAAGACCTATTAAATAAAATTATAAATCGAAAAAAAACCGGATCGATATCGGCCGAACAATCATTTCAATACAAATAACTGGACAGACAGACTGCATTTTACATGAATATTTACGCACGTATATTCTAACAGCGGCCATTAGCGCCCCGGGGCGGATATTTCAACAAAAATGGTTTCGCAACTTTCAGTAACAGTTCCGAGTTGCATAATGTACTCACCGTGTAAGGGTTAACGTAGAGAGGGAGGGCCGGGGGCACTGACGTAGAGGAAATCACAGTTGAAGCACTTGTCAGCCATGCACATAATCCTTCATTGGGTGAATAGGCACAGGGTCTTTTTTAAGGTTCAAACGCACTCGCGACACAATTTTTCCGTGTGTGGGAAAACTAATGCCGCGCGGCGCGTGCGGCGCTTGCGACGGCGAGCGGGCGACTGGCGAGCGCGCGCGCCTCCCCACGTAATAAAACCTTCGCTTTTCAAGAGTGGGGGCGCGAACGGCTTTTTGAAAATGGAACCTGAACCTTACCTGCTGGATCGGGTCCCGTTTCCCGTTAGTTTGGGGTTTTTCATTCGGAGGTTATTGGAACTTGGCACTGTTACATTATTTATTTTTAGATTGGTTATTTATTTGTCTTGTTGAGTACAGCTGCGTTTATTTACATCTGATTTATTTGTGTACTTTATAAAACTGCCAATTTGTAAAAGCGTTTCGTTAAACTTGATATTCAATTAAGTTGGCTGTTAAAAATATGTATATTGATAACATTTTATTACGAAATTAATATACTTTCATTGATAAAAGTCGTAAAAATCTACCGTATTTCACACAATAATGAATGAAACTAGTTTATTTTAGGAAATATCATAAGGAAAATAAACAAATTTAATTGTTTTTTACAGTAATAAAAAGAGCATAAATTCGTAGAATATTGAATCAGATTGCCTTAAAAATCTTTGTTTGAAGTGGATTTTAGGCAATTAAAGTGCAATAAAACATACTATTAAATTGGTTTGAGAATACTAAAATCCATTAACATAATTGAAAATGCATTAAATATACTAAAGAATTCATAAATCATGAGTATCTGGACAAACAAAACTCGCCCCTACAAAAGACATCAACGGGGTCCAGAGATTGTTGCGATGCTTTCTACTTTTATTTTGTAAATACTGAAGAAATATACCTTGTTCACAGTAAAACAGTATGTTTAATTTTTCTAATACGGTTTTTACTAAATATAATATTAATGAAGACTTTATTTAAATAAAACAGTGAAATCAAAATAATGTAACTGTATCAATTAAAAACTTTATTATTATAGGTACTGGTACGGCTAACTCTAAAAAACTCTTTGACTATTATCTCATAAAAATACTAAGCCTTTTCCCTTTAGTTTATACAATACATAAATCGTACTACATGGTACCGCCACGGTATACAGGCGTGAGGTTATGGTCGTATATGTGTCGCGGTGAACCTAACGGGTAACAGGGGCTCCGGCTCGACGTGCAGGAGAAGGAACGGGGTGGTTTTTAGTCAGCCGCCTCCTCCCTCCATGACTCCTCCCGCCTCACCCAGGCGGGAGTATTCATTCGACGATTTTCCCCCCTTAAAAAAAATGGTAGTATATGTATGTATGTACGTAAGTATGACTACAGAACAAACGGAAATAAACATTTACGTAATATTAAGTATAACAGAGCAGTCAGTAATTGGGGAGTCAATAATTAATCATTTGATTATTATTTAATAGTATCCTTGCCCCAATAATCTGTCAGTACCTACGTAATTATTATTTGGTTTACCTAAATCAAGCTTAAATTAAGTTGCAGATGTTTGCCTGTTCTCTTGAAAATATCAGCCTGATATTGTAGGCGGGGGTGCACACATATTAACACCTGAGAAAAGCTTTACTAGTTTCGAGTGTCACGTCGCGGCGACGTCGCGACCGCGCACGCTGCTCTTGAGGAAGAGGGGATCTTCCCCGATTCGATTCTTCACCGATTCTGTGATTCGAAACTCGTAGAGCTTTTCTCAGTATATTCTCGTGAGTAACCCGCGATTTTTAGTTAATTTAGTTTGTCTCATGATAGTTATTATAAAAACAAGTTAACACTTGATTTCTTTTGTAATAATGGTCTATTTACTATTATACTTCAGAAGAAAGAAGAAAAAAAACCATTTATTTTTGCGCAAAACACACATAACATAACCAAAAATAAAAATAAAATAAAATAAAAGCTAAAAAATTAAAATGAAGTGAAGTCTTGTCCATGGTCCACAGACTCATTATTTACTGAAATTATAGAATACTTAATATCTAATATTATCTGTGGACCATAGACAAGGAACACCCTACTTACTTCATGCATGCATTTCATAAAATTGGTAATTCAGGAACCATTTCAGACTCTATGGTATTACTGTTTTATCATAAAACTAAATTTTTTTTTCTTGTTCATTAACGACACTAATTGCTACCATCAGATGTATTTTTTATATACATTTGATAGGCCGACGTTTGACCACTATCTTGCCTGGTCGTAAGCGATGATGCTGTCTACGATGGATCACGTCGTCCCATAAGCAACCTATTCACTCGGGCCATGAAAACACCCAGGTAGCAGTACGTACAAGGAAGCTTGATGCGAAGCGCTTTGTGCGTGTGGGTGGAACATCTACCATGAATCGGTGATGCTTCGCCGATTGTCTTGTGGTGCGATGATGGAAAGGACTAGGGGTATCAAGTTGTGCAATTTATAGTTGTTTGCCCTCATCCCATAAAAAATGTCCCTACATAGCAATTCTTCTAAAATAAGTACTCTATACATCGTCCGTCCCACAGCAAAATAACTTGTCATAAGATGTCTCATTATTTTTAATTTACAAATATATTTCACATAAAACACTAGGCCTAAATTTGTAGGCACTATTCGCATTGCCCGTGCCACCCGACGAGAAATATCTCTTGGAAAATTACACGGCGTGATGTTTTGATAATGTACTATGATTTCGTATGTTCTTTCGAAGTTTGGTTTTTGCAATGGTTCACTATACTTATGTTTTGTTTTAAACATTCCATTTCTTTGTAAAACTATTGTATTACCAAGACAGAACCATGTTACTTCGGGACGAAAACGAAATAGATTTCGCTGTGTATAGCAGTAATGTTAACTAATTAGTCGGTGTGTACTGACTTTATTACTTCACATTTTTCAGCAACAACCTTCTCCTTAACAGCATAAAGACCGCACCTAAATTATAACAAAGAAACGTTAACAAGAACGTCTCTATCATGCGCGTGCGCAACCGGTCAGGGGTACAATATTCAGGGCGCTACGATCAGCCGGACGAAATAATAACACACGCGATACCATTAAATAACACAAAAACAAGTTTTCAGTCTTATGAACATGTGTTACCAGCCTTTATAATTAAAAAAAAACCTATATTCAGCAGTGTAAAAGAATTTCAACCAGTTCTGTCAAGTTTCATGTAATAGAAGGTAGTAACAATTATAGGCTAGGTACTATTTCAGGTTTCATTTTATTATTTTCAGTTTAAAACTTTGGATTTAATGGATTGGACCTAAAATCAGTCATTAACCTACATTTTTTGCATTAACAAACAAATCATTATGATTTGTAGCTGTTTATATGGAACTTCTCTGTTGGGTGAGTGGTTCCGTAATAATCCTACAGCGTAATGTCGACTGTAGGATTATTTAGCATTCGATCTTATAAGTCTTTTTGCCAAAAAATTCTTTAAACTCTGTTTAATCTATATATACAAAAGAAAGTCGTGTTAGTTACACTATTTGGGGTGCGGTGCCAGAAGACCTCCCCGTGGTGCACCCTGGGTGCGGGCGACAGTCTCCCTAGCGGGGGTGATAGGGTTGGAGTGACTGTCGCCCGCAGCAGACTTCTGGACTGGGCGGGCGAACCCGATAGGGTTCTGGAGGCGGCGGGCTGTGTGCTCATGGCCCGCGCTTCCGTGGGGCGTTTCTCCGCCTGTCTCTCTGATTAGCAGAGAGCGTGGCGGAGAGGCAAGGGCGGTGCTCGTTGTGCACTCACCCTGCCAGCGAGCAGCATCGGGACACAAGCTGTCCCCGATTGCAGCCGTCGATATCGTAATCCGTAAGGAGGTCACGGTCATGTTTTGTGACTCTGAACGGGACGAGGGTCTTGGCTTGGTCGCCCGGACCGCGAGGAAGATAACCTCTATAAAAAATTCCTCCAATACTAAGTTCTGGTGCGCGGCGAGAGTATGCATGGCTGAGGAGTAGTGTCAGTCGCGAGCGCACCCCCAGCTAGGGGACCAGTGGAACCTCTAGTTGGGAAACAAATTAACACTTACCCAGGTACAGGGGGCACTGCCTGGGTGGACCGAATATTTCCCCCATACTCGTGGGAATTTTATGGAGTTGAACACAAAATTAAATAAAACCACACAACCGGAGGAGGAGAGTGCGGGTGAGCCTAGCTCGCCTGCAGTAGTAGGAGAAGGGAGCCCAAGGGGCTCTGGCGCCCGTGGGGAGACGCTGGACACGTCTAGCGTGCCCCACACACGGGCATCAATTCGGATGGGATCGGAATCCGAGTCCGACACATCGCTGGCGGAGCGACTGAGCGCGAGCTCGAAGGGCTCACGCCGTCGCGTGACGGGGACGTTTAAGCGTCCCAGACTGGAGGAGGACACTTTGTCCCCGTCCTCCGGCGCTCAGGAGGCGCCTCCGCCCAAGGTCCCCACGGCGGCGCGGGGTAGGGGCGGCAAGGGCAGCGGTCGCCGAAAACTGGGAACCGCTGCCTGCGCGGAATCAGCCGGGCAACTGGCTGCGGAGGGCAGGGCTCTTTCGAGCACTGCCCGTTCGGAGTCCTCTGCGGCCGAGATGTCCGGCGTGGAGATGTCGGAGGGCGAGCGCGGCTCTGAGAGCGAGAGCTGCTCCGGGGGCCTCGAACAGGCCATTACGGCGGAGCTCTACAAGCTGGCGATGGGGAAATCCCAGCCGGTTAGGCTCCGCCTCCTCAAGGCGGCGGCGGCCACTATTACGGTGGCGGCCTTGGAGCAGCGTGCGGTGCCCACTGCGGGAAACGTGCGCTCTGAGCTGGCCGAGATGCGGCGAGAGCTGGCGCGCTTGGCTGCCTCTAACGCGGCTCTGGAGGCCGAGCTGCGGACGGCCAGGGCCGAGCTCGCCGCTGCTCGCGGCAGTCGCCCTCAGCCCCCGGCGGAGGCCGACGTGGTCGGACTGCTGCGGGCGGAGATGGCTGCCTTCCAGCGACGTTTCGACGTGCTGGAGGGCAGGCTCTTGCGCCCCCCACTTGCGGCGAGTCAGGTCGCCCCCGCAGTCCCGCGGTCGTACGCGGCCGCTGCGGCCAAGCCTTCGACCTCGGGTCAGGCTAGCCGCAGCTCCCAACCGCCGGC